CAGACCCCTGGTATACCTCGTAGTGTGTTTTCCATTACGCTTTGGAAAATCCCAGGAGAGACATTCACTCCAAACTGCAGCCTTTTTACCTTAAAGGCTCCCCTGTGGGTCACAATAGTCTGAGCTATGGCAGCATCATTATCAACAGGCAGCTGTTGATATGCTTGAGCTAGGTCAAGCTTTGCAAAAACACGCCCCCCCTTGAGAGAGGCCAGGATGTGACTGACCACAGGCACAGGATAGGCATGTTGCTGCAATGCCTTATTGAGTGTGCATTTGTAATCAGCACAAATGCGAATGTCCCCATTTGCCTTTAGAGGCGTGACAATGGGGGTCTACCATGGGCTGGAATCAACAGGTTCTAGGATTCCTTGTTGGATTAGTTTGTCTAATTCAGTGTCAATCTTACTTTTTAAAGCAAAAGGGACCCTTCTTGCTTTAATCATAATGGGAGTGACAGTGGGGTCTAGCTTTAAGGACACAGGTGGTCCTTTGAATGTGCCCAGCTGGGGGCTGAAAACATCTGCAAATTCCTTGCAGACTGCCTGTAGGTCGAGTGTTTGTAAGCTGTTGAGTCCTGTGACGTGTATCCCCAGGGCCTCAAACCAATCGAGTCCTATGAGACTCGTTCTTTCACCCCCTACTACTAACAAGTCTAGTGGACCTTCAAAACTCTTGTATTGCACGTTAAGGGTGGCCTCCCCCTTAACACACACTCTTGAGTTCTGAAAATCAGTTAATACAATATCAGAAGGCCTTAACTTGGCCTGAGTCCCACTACTGGAACAAATCTTCCTAAATGTATGCAATGAAATGATGGAAAGGGCGGACCCTGTGTCTAGTTCCATAGATAATGGAACCCCTTGTAGCTTCACGTTGAGTGACAGCTTTTTCTTCATGGGCTTGTGTGTGCCTGTCCTACAAATGTTTCTACGCGAAGCGCAAAAACCTACCCTATTCTGGCTGGGGACTCTGGTACCCTTCAGGCGTTCTTCTTGAGGTTGTGCCTTTCGTCGGCCAGACACACAGCTGCAATGTGCCCTTGTTTGCCGCATGCCCGGCAGGTAGCGGAGCGGAACTTGCAGTCGGTTCTCCTGTGGCGACCTCCACAGCCGATGCACTTGAGCGGAGCTGAAGAGCTTTCCTTCTGATTTTCTCCCTTCGCGGGGTGTAGACGGTCGACTTCTTCGTCCGGATCCTCCTCGGAGTTTCGTCGGACGTCTTCTTGGTGCACGGACGCACCCTCTGCACTGCTTCTGATCGGCCGCATGTTCTTGACGGCGCCGCCTGCTGCTTCTTCCGCGGTGGCTTCCCTTAAAGCGTCTTGGAAGGATAATTCTTCCTTAGCGAAAAGTCTCTGTTGTAGCTCTCGATGCCTCAACCCGCACACGAATCGGTCCCTCAGTCGTTCCTCGAGGTCCTTGAACTCGCAGGGCTTGGCGGCCTTCCGTAACGCGGCGATGTACTCCTTGGCTGACTCCCCGGACCGTTGATCCCTCTGCTCGAAGGTGTGGCGCCATGAGATAACGGACACCTTGGGGTGGAAGTGGTCCTTCAGCAGCTTCTTCAGGTCTGCGTAGCTTACAGACTCTACTGGAACAGGTGCTGCAAGGTTTTCTGCGATTTCGAAGGCGTCTTGGCCGCAAGCGCAAAGCAGGGTGGCAGCCTTCAAGCTATCTTCCCTCACTTGGTTTGCCTTGAAGTAGTTCTCCATTCTGGATACGTAGGACTCCCACCGCTCTGGATGTGAGACGTCGAATTCCGCAAGCCTTCCGATTTTCGCCATCTTCGGATCTTCAGGAGACGGGTCTATCAGCCAGCCTACCCCCGAATGCGCACTGGATTGGCGGGCAGCTGCTGAGTCAACACCGTTCCTCTTCCGCCGCTCAGGACTCCTTGGGTAAGCTTACACTTTTTCCTTTCCAGGTAGTGCAAGGCATCCCACCTTCGTCGCCAGTGTTGCGTCCTTGGCGGGAAAACAGACACGAGAAGCAGCTGGAGTTCTCAGGTTCTTTTATTCAGCGTTCAGCTTACAGGAAGATGGCTTCAGCTCAGCCCAAACGCCTCACAGCCTCTTATATAGGCAACTCCCGGGTAAATGGGTTACTTTTCCCGCGCCAGCACCCGCGCATGCGCACGGCGCTGGCGACAGCCTGTCTGGTCCCGGGCAGCTTTGCACCTGCCCGGGACTGCCTGCAAACGCCCGAGCCGTTTGCAAGGCTCGGGACATAACAGGAGTGATCTCATTAAACCCCAAGAATGGGAGCCTTTTCCAGATAACAAAATAAAAGAAGCAGTTGTGAATTTGTGTGGCCGTCGAAAAACACACTAGGACTCAACGTACTTGGCACCTCCAGCAATCTCCACAAACACACATCTTGACCGCTGGCAAGAACGAACCAGCCTCAAGTCTGGACAAAGCATCTTTCTGTTTTCACCGGATCCAATATTTTAGGCCCCGGGATACCTACAAAGTCTTGTTTTGTCTCTGCTTGTTTTTAAAACCAGCCCCCTAGTCCTCAGTGAGTTAATTTAACTAATGCTTTAAGTCAATTTCTCAACCTGGGTAAGTTGTCAATTTCTCAACCTGGGTAAGTTTAAGAACACTGGCTGGGGAATTCTAGGAATTGAAGTTCTCTCATCTCAAAACAGGCAAGATTTAAGGCAACTTCACTTTATGAACTCAGAACGAAACTCCCCAAGCATTTTTTTTAAAAAACTACCCACATTCCCCACCTACCTGTGCTTCTTCTCCATTGTGACTTGGTTCCCCTTGCAGTTTCTCCCTCAGTTTTCCCAGCTCCGCTCTCAAGGCCGTCATCTCGTGCTCTTTGGTTTGCAAATAAGCTTCCAGCTCCACTTTCTGCTCAATCAATGCCTTCCCCTGAGCTTCCACAACGGTAATCCGGTGGCGCAGATCATGGTTTATCTTCATCAACCTGTTTTGCTGCTGCTGGAGCTACCGAGAAGAAGGGAAAACGAAGGGGAAGCGGAGGGACACCACTGAAAAGGCCCCATCACTTCCAAGTCCCCAGATGTCACTTTTTTATTTGGAGAGAGAACCAACTGTTCAAGTAACTGTGGGGAAAGGTTAGGGGCAAGATGGATTCCCCGCTGCAGATGAGACTTAAGAAACCTACGGGTATTAATTAGCTAATGCATTTTCCATTAAGAAGATGCTTTGTTAAATAAAGATAGTTTTCATGTCTAATCAGGAAGCCCACAAGTCTAGGAATCCAATCTCTGCTTTCAAAGAAAAGAAAAAAAAAAAGAAAGCATTTGGCAATTCCTTGAGGAGGGGGAGAAAAAAGAATACTCACTGCTTCTACGTCTTCATTTTTAAGTCCCAGTTCTCTATCCTTCGCGCGGATTTCATCCCGTTGCTTGTCGACCACTTCCTTCAGCTTTTTCATCACTTGCCTCTCTCTTTCTGACATCCCTGATGTTGTTGTTGTTTAAAAAAACAACAGATGATAATAATAAACAAATCGCCTTCGTCACTGACCCTCCTTAAGCAACAGAGCCCTTGTAAAATGTGGTCACAGGACATCAGAGGGTGGGACCAGCTGTCTGAACTTCATGGGGGGGGGAAGGGGGGTCATTTATTTATTTATAAAATTTATTGGCTGTCCATCTGGGCTGCTTACAGTCATCAAAATGGGTCCATCCATATACAATTAAAACATAAATAAATTAAAACCAAACATTAAAACCCAAGGACTGTTCAAAGTCATGACTTTAAACAGTTGCTAGCCAATTGTCCGTAAGTCGAGGACCACCTATCGAAGCCCAATGGGGAGGGCACCGTCACCTGAAACGAAGCCCGCCCTTTTGCCTCTGGCTACCCCTGAATTCTGCAAAGTCATTTTGACCGTTTTTGGTCCAAAGCACTCAAGGCATGCTCAGGAATCTCTCTCCGCTTTCCTCCACACTTGCCTTCGTGTTTCTGGAATTCTTCCTCCGAGAAGTTCACGTCCCTGTTGGTGAGGTTCGTCATCAGCTGCTTGTTCTCCTCTTGCAGCTGGGCAATCTGGGTGAGGAGGTCCTGGGCTTCTCCTCGCCAAACATCCTCCACCAGTTCCAGCTCCTGCAGGATCAGCAATCCCAGCCTATCAGCCTCGGCAAGTGAAGACCAGCCTTTTCAAGGTCTTGCCCCCCCCCCAGGGCAGTGGTCTCTGCCCCAGCCAAAAGTTGGAGGAGAAGACCACCGAAGGTTGGAGGGGAAGACCACTGAGCCCCACTTTCAGACCTGGGCCAGGGACCCCCAACCAGATCCGATGAAGCCCTTATTCAAATGAGGTGAATTACGTTCCTCCTTTGCAGAGGGACGTCACCCCAATGTGACATCCTCACAGGTTGTATGGAATGCTCAGATGTTCTTGTGTTTCTTTAAAAAAAAACGACCGAGAAAAATCTCTGAAATGAAGAAATCTAGATTTTGATTTCTAGGGCTGCTAAGTCTCCCGTAACAACTGCCTTGTTCCCTTCTAGTGGGAATTTGGGTGCCTGTTTTGATTGAGAATTATCTCCATGCATTGCCGTCATTTTCCTCCTCCCTATTTCCTCTGATTTGGAAGGGGGGGGGGGAAACCTCTGTGCGCAACCTTCCCACAACAATTTTTCCCTCCCCTTCCTAACTTCCTGATGTCCTTGCTGCATGTGCAGGATTGCTACGGAATCTATTTTTCCACTTCCTTGGCAAGGAAGAAGTCCACGTGAAAGAGGGGGGGGGGTGCCTCTCTCTCTCTCCACCAGACTCCTCCCTTCCTTCTTTCCTTCTCTTCCTCCTCCTCCACCTTTCCTTCTCCTCCTCCCCCACACCCAGCCTGGAAGTGACATGCAGGCTGGGAAGCCTGGCACATTTCGAATCCAGGCTGAGATCAGGCCTCCTTCAATTACTCTCCTGATTGCATTGGCTCCGTTCCTGCAATCCACACGTTCCTCACTAACGGAACCACCATCACTCCTCCAGCGATCCCTTTCTCAGCTCCCACACAACAACAGCTCCAGACAAAGCCGGTTTGCGTGTCACTCAGATAATAAAAGGAAGATCTCCAAATTAAGAAGAAGAGATTGGACAGCCATTTGCCTGAAACGGTATGGGGTCTCCTGCTTGAGTAGGGGGTTGGACTAGAAGACCTCCAAGGTCCCTTCCAGCTCTGTTATTCTGTTCTGTTAAATTTGCAAGGGTTGCAAACACAGGGCCCATTAAAATTCAGAAGCTGACCCTGGAATTCTGCCCAAATCCTGACTTCTAGGAGCCTGGAAATTTAAAGGAATACATTTTATTACTTGCAAACAGGAAGAACAGTCCAAGATTTGTTACATCATAAATGTATCCCAGGCAGAGGATAAGAGAAGTGATTCAAAAGCCTGTGATCTCTTCTGGAGCTGTTGATTCCCCCCTCCCCCCCAAATTAGAAGTTGATGTCAGATCTCCGTGTGACTCTTCCGGGACAATCAAGTACATCCCGAGAACAGCTACCAAAATAACCCACCCTTTCTATTCTTTTTCAATTCTTCTCATTTCTGGCCCCTTCAATTGTTTTTTTTATCTTCTCCATCTGGTTTGGGGATCCCCTTAAGATGTAACTCAACTTAAGTACAAACTAGAAACCTGTCAAGTTTGTAAGACCAGCTCTGGCACATTTAACAATAGAGTTTCAAGCATCAGAAGGGCTCTGCTATAGGAATGCTGGTTAAATGCCTCTAAATCTTTGTTTAGCCCTGATGTTTATTTATGTGGTTTGGTTACTCAAGCCGAATTTGAGCTTCATCTGAATTTTGCACACCTTTTTTTAATTTTTAATTTTTTTTTTAAAGCATCGGCAACTTCTCTTCTACTCCAGAGATGTTTGTGGATCCTCTGTAGCCATTTTCACTCTGGCCATTAGAGCCCTGTTACCTCCCGTGTGATTGTGACACTAAAACCCTCTTGTCAGCATCTTGATTAATGCATTTTATTTATTAATTTAGGGTTTAGTTTGCAGCTCATCAAAGCGTCTACCTTTTATTAAAATGCTCCAGTTGGAAAAAGTGCTCCTAAGCTCCTTCTGATTTTTATTTATCTAGCCAAATCTTGTTTCTTGGTCTCTTCGTTTAAGGATGGCTGGACCACACGGTACACCAGGATCTTGGACAAAAAGCAGCATCCCACTCTTTCGGGACCCCTGGGAGGTGGAGCAGGGAGCCCCTGTTCTGACAGTGCTGGGTACAGGGGTGGCTTAGCCGACAAATCACAGCTATGTCTGACATGGAAACTCAGTGGACCCCAGTTCAGGATGGAAAGGATCTAACTGGGCCCAAATGGTGTCATTCTGCAGATGCAGCTGTTGTTTGCCATCCCTCTGCCTAAGCAGGGAGAGGCCTTAGCTACATATGCATTGGGAGGCAACCTTTCTTTCTTTTCTCCCTTCTCTTTTTTTTATTCCTCTTCTTCTTTCCTCCCCTTCCTCCTTTCCTTTCTCTCTTCTTTCCATTCCCTTTCCCCTTCCTTTCATCTTTTCTCTACTCTTCCTCTCCTTCCCACCCTGTCTCCATTCCTCCCCTCTTCTTCCCCTCCACCTTTTCCTTCCATCCCTTTCCCCTCCTTCCCTCCCTCCCTCCTTCTTTTACTTTTTCCTCCCTTCTTCCTTTCTCTCCCTCTTTTCCTTCCATCCCTCTTTCCCCTCTCTTTCTTTGTTTCCCCATCCTTCTTTCTCCCCTCTCCTTTTCCCTTCTACCTCTTCCACCCTTCCCTCTCTTTTCCCTTCCCTTCCCTCCCCTTCCCCCATCCCCCGGGGCCCCGGCTGACCTTCTGGTGCTTCCTCTCCTTCTCCAGCCGGTCGACTCGCTCCAAGCGGAGGCGGTCCAGCTCCAGGCGCAGCTCCTCCACCTCGGGGCTGATGTGGTCGCGGCTGACCAGCACCTCCAGGATCTCCAGCACGCGCACCACCCTGGGCATCAGCCGCCCGATGGCCTCGCAGCCGTGCTGGTCGATCAGCCGCTCGAACTCCTGGCCCACCAGAGAGGCGATGTCGTAGACGTCCATCACGGTCAGCTCGGCCGCGCTCTTCTCCAGCGCCGAGCCCCCCGCGCCCCCCTCCATCGAGCCGCTCGCCCAGCAGCCCGGCCGGGGCTCCTTCATAGACGTCCGGTGCAAGTCGATGCAACGCAACGCAACGCAATCCAATACAATGCAAGGGAGGCAACCCGGCGCCCGGAGGCCGCGGTCCGGAGGCGGGCGGCTGGACCCCGGCTTCCCCAGACCCCTCCTCCCGTCTGAGCCGGCCTCCTCCTCCTCCTCCTCTTGGAGCGCTGGGCTGGGCATCCCGGCCAGCGGAGGCGGAGCGCAGCGCAGCCGGGCGGAGGCAAGGAAGGATGCTCCGGGCAAGACGCGGGACTGAGCGTTCCCACGGCCAGGATGGCTCCCGGCGGCGAAGGCAGAGCCCCCGAAGCTCGATCGTAGGAAGGGCCCCTCCGCTTGACTTTTGCAGGAGGTGAAAGGGAGTCCTCGACTTACAACGGTTCGTTTAGGGAGCGTTCGAAGTTACAGCGGCAGCTTAAAAAGTGACTGGAGATCATTTTTTACACTTAGGACCGTTGCAGCATCCCCGTGGTCACGTGATTTATATTCCGATGCTTGCCAACTGACTCACATTTATGACGGTCGCAATGTCCCAGGGTCACGTGATCCTCCCCCTTTGCCGACCTTCCGACAAGCGAAGTCAACGGGGGAAGCCAGATTGACTTAACCATCAGGTTACTAGCTTATCAGTCGCAGTGATTCACTTAACAACCGTGGGCAAGAAAAGTTCTAAAACGAGGCTGAACTTGCTTAACACATGTTGCGCTTAGCAACATCATTTTTGGATTCGGTTGTAGCCATAATTCGAGGACTAGCTGTAATATACTGGAGGCTTTTGGCGTTTGTTACGTTTTGCATCTGGCCAATGAAATGCTGACCTTCCTTCAGCTTTCTTTTGGTCATTAAAAAAGGCAGTCACTAAAGGAGGACTCCCTGTAGATCGCACGACGCCCTTCTCCATTATTCCACCTCTACCATTAGGCTATTTTTTATTTTTATTTTTGGTTTTCCCAGGGAAGATCAACCTAATAAATAAATAAACACAATGCCAGTCTTCAAAGCACATTGGACTCCAACTCCCATCATCCAGATTAACCCCCCGGGCCCAGAACGATGGGGTTTGGAGTACAACAGAGAGCCCCGGCATGTGGATTGGTTATGGGGAGACTCCGCAGAGCTGTGGCCGGGTGGAATGGCGGAGATGATGGGATTTGTAGTCCATCCTCTCTCTGAAGCGCCTGCTTTATTTATTTATTTATTTATGAGACTTATATACCGCTTTAAGTGCAAGCACTCTCTAAGCGGTGTACACCAGTAAGCAATGTATATATATATATTCAACAATGCTTGTTGAAAAGGCTGCCTTATAATCCGCAGATGCCTCCTCGACGTCTTCCAGGCAGAGCAAAACCACATTTGGTTGCCCCCCTCGCCAGAATATCCCCACTTCAGTGGCGGCTGTTTCTCAGATCCTCCCTCCCTTTCTCAAACGCGTGGTAAATGTCTCTTCTCAGCCGCCGTCGCAAGTGTTCGTTTCCTCCCATTCCCGATTTGGCCTCGCGCGGCCACCGTCCTCACCTCTCCTCCACCCTCCCATCCCGTCCCGCTTCGCCTCCTCCAATCAATGCACGCCTCACTCCTCTAGGCCCGCCTTCCCCTCCCCCCAGCCTAGCGGCGCCGACTCCAGACTTGTACGTGGCAGCGGGTTCGTCCCGGGCCTATGAGGAGCGGCCCCGTGCACCGGAAGGGGCGCGGCCAGGGCCGGAAGCGCCCCTCCGTCGCCGCCTGTTCCCCTGGCTGGTTGGCAGCGGCCCGGTCGCGTCGTCCTCGGCTCCGTCCCTCACGTGGCCCGCCTCGCTCGCTCCCCCCCCCGCCGCCATGTCGCCGGTGCGGGCCGTGCTGGCGCTGCTGGCCGCGCTCTGGGCCCCGGCGGCCGGCTACTTCGTCAGCATCGACGCGCACGCCGAGGAGTGCTTCCTCGAGCGGGTCCCGTCCGGCACCAAGATGGGGCTCATCTTCGAAGTGGCCGAGGGCGGCTTCCTCGACATCGACGTCGAGGCGAGTCCGGGGGAAAGCCGGGCTGCGGGTGTGTGGGAAGAAGGCCAGGGCGCCTCTGAGCGCGTGCAGAGTGCCGGCCTCCCACGCCTCGGCCTCTGCGTCTTGGCCGCCTGGGAGGGTTACGGGGGCCTTTTCTTCGCTTCGCCCCACGTTTAGGAAGGGGAGAAGGGAGTCCCGAGGCGGGTTTTTCTTTCTGGACGGGTAGAGTAGCTCGTCAGCTGGAGGTTCTACGCTGGGAAACGGACTTGAAGGGCTGCTTGAAAGAGGCGGCGGAGCCGCTTCAGGGAGTGTAATCTTCCCCTGGCTTCTGAAGAAGGGGAAGCTGCAGAGTATGTGGCAATAGGGCTATAGTGCATCCATTTAATAGGTAGTCCTCGACTTATGGCCACAAGGGAGCCCAACATTTACGTTACTAAGCGAGAGCTTTGTCCCCTTTTACGAGCTTTCTTGCCATGCTTGTGAAGTGAATCCGGCTTCCCCATCGTCTTTGCTTGTCAGAAGGTTGTGAAAGGGGATCCCGTGATTCCTCGGGACGCTGCGACCATCGTAAGTACATGCCGGTTGCCAAAGCTTCTCAATTTGATCACCTGACCACGGGGATGCTGCAACGCTTGTATGTGTGAAAACTGGTCACCAGTCCCTTTCTCAATGCCTGTAACTTAGAATGACCACTAAGTGAAATGTTGTAAGTCGAGGACCAACCTGTGTTTCCTAATAGCATTGCTGGACCTAGTGGCGAAGGGCAGAAGGCCAGAGAATAACAAAAATGGGTTAGAAATAATTGGGGGTGAGGAGGAAGGGAGGGATGAGGTGCGACCAGGCAGCCATGTAGAGAGATGAGGGACCACCAAACGATAATTTGTCAACTCATATTTGTCACTTCTTAGCAGAACTTGAATTTCTAGCAGTTGTTGGTTTTACATGATAGGAAACTCTGGGAGGATCATCTGTCGTTAGCTTTGTTGGGTGTGTGTATTTAGAAAAGATTGGAGAATAGCAGTGGCCCTGTATGAGCTCGTTGGACTTTTTTTTTAATGTAAATAATTGTTCTTTGGAGTTAATCTGGGTTGGTGCTTAATTGAATAAATGTAGTGGGAAATTACTGACCGATTAGTTAGGACAGTTATAGGATTGTAATGTTTCCTGGTTAAAGTGACACAAAACAGTGACACATTGTTAGTAGGAGGAATCATTTTACTGTTTGTTTTTTTTATTTGTAGACCTTTTGTTTAAGGCTCTTGAGCATAATAAAGTTTTGATGTTAGTTGTATTCTAATATTCCTCTGGTTGGCTACTGTGAAAACTAGATGACTGGTTAGATTTTGATAAGATCCAGATAAGAACAATACTACATTTTCATACCTTGAAATTCTACCCAATTGGCTCTTTTTGAAATACAGGTCACCCTGGACTTACAACAGTTCATTTAGTGACCATTCAAAGTTACAACAGGACTGAAAAATGTGACGTACAACCGTTTTTTCACAGTTAAGGACCTTTGCAGCATCCCCGTGATCATGTGACCAAAATTCAGACGCTTGGCAACTGGTTCCTATTTATGACCGTTGCTATGTCCCAGGGTCATGTGATCACCTTTTCTGATCTTCTGACCAGCCGGGTCAGGGATTCACTTAATATCCAGGTTACTAATCGATCAACTGCAGTGATTCACTTAACAACTGTGGCAAGAAAGGTCGTAAAATGGGACAAAACTCATTTAAATGACAACAGAAATGTTTGGCTCCATTGTGGCTGTAAGTTGAGGACCACCTGTAGATTATTGAAATATATACTGTTATTTGACACTTGCCATGTTTCCTACATAAGTTTCGTAACTTTCAGAAATAAGCTTCATTCGTTTGGATGCAGATGAACATAACCATTCACCTTCCTCCTCACTTCCAGATCACGGGCCCTGATAACAAGGGCATTCACAAAGGCGACAGAGAATCCAGTGGAAAATACACCTTTGCGGCCCACATGGACGGAACATACAAGTTCTGCTTCAGCAACAAAATGTCCACCATGACTCCCAAGATAGTGATGTTCACTATTGACATTGGGGAAGCTCCCAAGGGACAGGACATGGAGACAGAAGGTGAGACCAGACGCTCCCACAAATTTGCCTACTTGCTGCGTTTACTCCTCCCAACAGTATGTGTTGCATCAATTCTGTTCCCTCTTTGGGGACGAAATATTCTGAGAACAGCATCACAACTTCTCTTTATACCGTAATGGGATTTTTCCAGGAAAATGATTCTTGATTTGAACGTTCCAAGTCATTTTCTGGCAGACTCCACTGTGATGGATCTTGTGTATATTTCATTTTTGTGAATTTTCTGCCATCCAAACATCCTTTTCATTCTAGCTGTGTCCACTTTCATCTCTTCTAAGCTCCAGATGGAATGAATGGCTATGTAGGAAAGGGGGGCCAGACTGAAAAATGGTTCTCAACTCTGGACTGGGGGGCTGATGTTTTGCATCCCGGGGTCTTTATCTCCTTATGTGGCCTTCATACTGCTGTTTTTATGGATATGCTTGGCAGTCTCAGTCTTAGCCCAGCTCTTTCCTATCTCTTACCAGTTCTTGATGGACTTTTTCTCTAGATTATAGGACTGACTAGCCCATTTTTCTAGTTACTCCTTCTCTACTCTTCTAGTTCTAAGTACTTTCTTATCTCTTAGATTCCCAATCCTCTTTACCAGACTATTCTGTGGTTGCCAGCTCCATGCCTTTCTTCCTGCCTCTTGATCAGAGAAATGTGATTTGAAAATGGGATGTAAACCTTTGCTTCCATGCTGAGGCAAAGCACATCCTCATTTCCCTTTCGTGTATCGAGTATCATTTGTACTTGATTCTCAGAGAACCCGATGGAGCCCTTCCTGTGATGCTCCCACTTTCCCTTTTGGGGAAGTAGTTAATCCAATGGGAGGGCCAGCCAGCCGTAAGAGTTGGCAACTCCTTTTTATGTCTGTCGGAAAGAGGGCCGTGCTGAAAGCCCCCGTTGTTGAGGGACGGTGTCCTTCCTTTTGACTGTCTCTCCTGCTCACCTCTTTTGCTTTTCCTTAGGTGGTGGAGACACCTGGGATGGTATGTGTTCTTCTTTGAAGAAATTCCGTTAATTCCTCTGGTTTGCTTCTCCTAATCTGTTAACAGCCGTGTGGAGCTTTATGTATGGGATAAGAGGCTACTTGCTAACATATTGCTGATCCAGGGGTTGTCATGCTCAGATGGAAAGGCCCGCGTGTTGTGTACCAAAGAAGCACTTCATGATTTTTATCCCCTTTGTCTCAAAACAAATAGAGAGATGTTTCTTCTCCCTCCCTCTCTCTCTCCCTCTCTCTGTCTCTATCTATCTCTCTCTCCCCCTTTGCACGGCCCTTTTGTTACCGTTGCCCCCCTGCTATTATGCAGTTGCTTGTGCTCTGGATTTCCCACAAAAGCCCAGAGGCAAGTCGGGCCTCTTTCCAAACTCAGTAATTCTGCACTTGCTTTGTGGTGCACCCTAATTGGTTTGCTAGGCTGAGTGCCCTGATAAGGGAAGAGATCACAACTGGAATATTTTCCGCCGAAACGGCCTTGAGCTGTGAAACACGCACCTGTGAAGTGTTAGCATGTTTGAAGTCACTGTAAATCCAGTTCTACTAACAATGTCATGGCCTTGATGTGTTTTGTGTAAGTTTGGTGGTTCCTCTTTCATGGTATAAGGAAGAATTCCTCCTTTCTTGCGGAGCACATTAACCCATGCCAGCGCCTGAAATACAGAGATAATAATGGTTTTGCCCTCCTTGGACCATATACAGCTTGGATGGGATTTAGAACAAAAAGCTAGCTAGCCTGTTTGGGGGCTTTATTTTAAGTGCTCGTATATTTGCTAGCCACGGACGTGTCAGATTGCTTCATCATTGCAGCTGGATTCTAGTCTTTTTGACACAAATGTGAGGTTGTGTAATTCCTCCGCAGCTCATCAGAACAAGCTAGAAGAGATGATTAACGAATTAGCAGTGGCCATGACAGCCGTCAAACACGAACAGGAATACATGGAAGTGCGCGAAAGGGTACATCGAGCGAGTAAGTAGCTTTTGTTTGCTGGGCGGTTCTGTTTTCTTTCTAGTGTCCGGATTTTGTTTCAACAATTGGTCTCTTAGCCCTTGGCAACAATGGCATTCCAACAGGTGAGTGAGCAGGCTGGCAGAGGAGGAAGAAAAGTAACCTGATCTTGCAACTGCCTGCAGGAGGAAAGTGGTGTTCTGAAAGAGGGGAGGAGGCCGGGCTACTGCACTGAATGGGAGTGGTCAGTGTGGCTTTTGATTAACCAGAGCCACAAAAGTCTTAAGCCATTTAAGAGAGACAGTTTAATGTAAAAGTTAAAGTGCTGGCCTAGAAACCAGGAAGTGGTGAGTTCTAGTGCTGCTTTAGACCTGAACGTTGACAGGGTGACTTTGAGCCAATCACTAGGAGACAGTAAGCTCTGGTCCCGCCTTAGCCATAAAAGCCAGCTGGAGGACTTTGGGCCGGGCACTTTCTCTCAGCCCAATCCACCTCACAGGATTGTTGTTGGGGAAAGACGAGGAGGAAGTAGAATTAGATGTGTTTGCTGCCTTGAGTAACCTACAAAGTAATAAAAGTGGGCTAAAAATCTAATAAATACTTGCTAGGTGTTCCAAACATTTCTAGGCTCGGTTTGCAAGATTTCTAGAAATACCTGCATGGCTGGTCCTCCCCTCAGGAGATTCCTAAATATGGAGTAGATACTCCATTTGTGAGCTAAGAATGTGAGGTTCCTGTAGTTATGTAGTTCTGGATTCTTCAGATGTTCCGTAGTTTCCATGTGCTAATTTTGTATTTTCTTCTTGGTTTCTTCACCAGTTAACGACAACACAAATAGCAGAGTAGTCCTCTGGTCGTTCTTCGAAGCCCTTGTACTAGTTGCCATGACACTGGGACAGATCTACTATCTGAAGAGGTTTTTTGAAGTCCGGAGAGTGGTTTAATCAAACTTGGCTCCCAGCCCCCTTTCTGGTGATCCCAGACTCTGTTCACTCTTTTACCAAACACAATTTCGTTGCAAAAATCACATAGTTTTCTTTATCCCTGCATCCCGAACTATAAAGCTTTTTAAGTTTAAGGCCTTCTTAGCTTAATTCTGGATTTCTTTTTGTTTTTTGTTTTATATGAGGGGATACCTGCCGCGAGTTATTTTCTGAAATTGGAAGATTGTGTTTTGTAGCAAATTGCTGACATTTTGTCTAAGAGAAATGGTTCAGGGCTTTTTCATAGTAACGTTACAGACCTGTGGGGAAGATTCTCTAACTTGACCAGTGAGTTTCCTCTCTACTTTCACTATAGGAGAACAGTTCTGGTGTACCCCACTCCTAGCAGTGATTCCCCCCAAAGGGCACTTTGCCGAAGAAGAAATGAACGCGGTCCGGTACTGTTCAAACATACACCGACTAGGAACGGGTGTAGTTAGGATACTCTTAAGTGGCTTCTGCAAAATGCCCAATATCTTTAGGGTGGTTCCACCGATTTGTTCCTTGAGATTTAAGTTGGAGAAACAAGGATAACCTGGTTCCACATGGCCTTGGCTTTCAAACCTGGAAGTTGGCAATTGTAGCTGGGGATTCAACGTCTTCCCCTCACTGTTGATACTTCCAGAGCTGGTCCTCTCTGTAGTTCTATGGCAGGAACAGGTCATGCTGTCTGAACTCACAGTTTCCACGTTAGGGAGCAGAGGGGGAGAAGATTTCTATATCGTGTTGCAGTCTGGGCCACTTGGTCAGGGCAACCTCGGACGGGGATGACTTTTTCCTTGACCGAAACAGGAATGAGACAGAAAAATGCCACTTTCCTCTGTTGCCGAATCTTCCCCAGAGGCTATTTGCACACTGAACCGGTGCACATTTTCAAGTTACGACTGCAATTCCATAAATTTTCTCTCAAACCTTTCCTCGCTGCCCTGCTCTTACAGACACAGGAGCCTCTCTCAAGAAAGGCATCGTTGTTCCGAATTTGGCCACCATCTATTTTCTGCTTGTTCTCTCTTCATGCATCGACATAAGTTTTTATAGAATTGAGTTGTGTTTTTTCCTCCCCCTTTCTTACTTATCTGGATGATGGAATTAACAATCGCCACGTCTATCTGTCGGGGTGGGCCTGGTCCAAGATTATGTGGTGGCTGATGTATATTGGACTGATGTATATTGGTTATAATTTGGGGAGTGGGGCGGGAATGGGTTCTTTTCAAAGGGGAGGGCCTTCTGTCAGTACTGCATAAAAGAGTTTTGTACCAAATTTAATTTAATTAAAATTCGTTACAAGTTTTTCTGGTTCCAGTAATCTTTTCAGCCAGAGGTAAAGACTTTTAAGAGCGTTTCTTCGCCAACTTCACTGCAACCATTGTATGCCAACCCTAATATGAGATCAGTGGAGCTCAAGAGTAGAAAAATGTGCATTTAAAAATGTTTGAAATTTGGCCATATTCAATTAAATAAACACCTTCTTAAAAAAAAAAGTTGGCGAGCCTGTTGCTTATCTTACACTTTCAATAATCATTTTGTTTTTTTGCATTGTTGATTTATTTTATTATATACCTTAAAGGGACATGTTATTTCAAATAGACGTGTAATGGGGCAGGGGAGAGGAACATCTGGAGCAGTGGTTCTCAACCTGTGGGTCAGGACCCCATTTGGGGTTGAACGACCATTTCACGGGGGTCGCCAAACAACGCAGTCCACCATTTTTCCCCCTTTTCCTTAGCTGTTATACTCTCTTTTATTCTATTGGCTTTTGAAAGCCAACAGAATAGACTCTCTTGAATAGAGTCTAATTCTATTGGCTTTCAAAAGCCAATACGAATTGTCCAGGCTGTCTCTGCCCTGCTGAGCCCGCCAAAAGTCCCATTCTGCAAACGGTGCTACATCAGTTGAATAGTCCTCGACTTATGACCGATTAAGTAGTCCTCGACTTATTGGGGGTTGGGGGTCGTGGCATTAAAAAGGTTGAGAACCACTGATCTGGAGGATTGTATGATGTGGAAATGGATGGCTTTAACAGAAAGCGTAAATTGAAGACACCATTAGAAATCAATGGAGCTCATTAATTTAGTATTTAAACAAGTGCACCCCACAGAATTCACACCTCACCTCATGCAAAGGGCATCAGTTGAGAGGGGGCCAGCATAATTTTAGGGATATGTACCCACAGAAAAACTCTTCAAAGGTCTTCCTTCCCAGAATTAAATCTTTTGTGACAAATCTTGACTCTGTATTTTTCCATGATAAAGGAAGAGCTGCCCCAGTAATTCCTTAGAGCGTTTGACTGCAATATTTGGCCTTTCTTTGAGGGGCTGAGAAGTCTTCCCCTGCACCCCAAGACCCTGGGCAGATGCTCCCAAACTCCCTAGTTTTCTGACAAGGTGGAGAAAAGTAGAACAGCTCTGCCAAAGTGCAGGAAAGACTGATCCTCCAGTCCAGAGGTTGCAGGTGCTCCATCGCTGGAGATTCTTGAAAAAGCACCTTTGGGGTGTCCATCCCTGGAGGTTTTCAAGAAGAGATTGGTAGAGGCCTTCCTGCTGGAGCAGAGGGTTGACTAGAAGACCTTCCGGGTCCCTTCCAACTCTGCTTTTTTGCATTCTTCTCAGCCTACCGCTCCATCAGGAGGGAAGTGCGCAGGCGCGGAACCCAATTCACTCCGGCCGTGTTTCCCGGTCGGAGCTCGGAAGTGAGGACGCGCGCCGTGCGGGGGACTTCCATGAGGTCGGACAGGATTTCCGGCAAAGAAATCCGGGGTGGGAGGGCGCAAGATGGAGCAAGTGACCGAAGGGACGTGGGAATCGCTGCCCGTGAAGCTCAGCCCGGGCGTCCTGCAGGCCTTGCGGGAACTGTGCTTCTCTCACATGACGCCCGTGCAGGTAGGCAGCGGGGCCGCCCTGGCCCTTTCCGCTCCCCCCCCCAGGCGGGACTCCAGCTCCCATCGTTCCCAACCCGCGTGCGGATGGGATTGGATGCCGGCCCGCTTGGAGGAGGAGGAGGAGAAAGACGGCCTTACAAAAGGCTGAGGGTCTGCTGCCTATTTGGGTTAAGCGGGAAAGCCACCCAAGCTCTTCCATGCAACCTGTAGTACAATAAATTCAACAAAACATAAACAAACATAAATCCTAAAAAAGAGCACAAATAATCATCTTTGTGGATGCTTTTATTGTTTTAAGGTCTTTCAAAATATTTTAATTGTTTAAACATTTTAGATTTTAGGTAAGCCGCCAAAAGTCACATGTTGAATTGGGCCGCCATGGAAATTGATTGATTGAATGAACGAATAAAATCTTGTTATTTGAACCAACTGCCAGAATTGCCCAGCCAGCATGGGGAATTCTGGAAGTAGAAGTCCATACATGCTAGGTGGGGAATTATGGGAGTTGAAGTCATCCATCTTTGATTTGCTAAAGTTGAGAAACACTGATTTATTTGAAGGGTATATGCGTCCACCCAACTTGAGCATTACAGTTCCGGCTGCTGTACTAGAGCTGAAAAAAACAAAATAAACAATTTCAGTTAAAATCTAAAATAAAAATAGCCAGAATCTGACATTTATATCCAGTTCAAGAAGGATATAAAAAATCTCCAGGGGTATTTTCAGATAGAAGCCTTGGTTCAATTCATCCTGATGTGGTTTGGCCAAGCCTTTGGGCTCTTTCTATGCTTGATCCTTTTAGAGAAAAACTAGAAACCTCCTTTTTCACATCATTCCTCTGATGCATTTCTCTCAAAAGCATTTATGGTCCCTCATAATCTTTCCTCTTGCTTCTTCAACAGAGTGCAACCATCCCTTTATTTATGACCAATAAAGATGTGGCAGCTGAAGCAGTGAGTAAATTTTTAAAAAATTGTTTTAGCCATGATTTTCTTCTTTGAGCCATTCAGGAACCTCTTGGATATTTCTATTTTTCGTTGTCTCAGGTAACCGGCAGTGGAAAAACGCTAGCATTTGTCATTCCCATCATAGAAATACTTCTCCGGCGTGAGGAAAAGCTTAAAAAAATGCAGGTGAGTTCATTTCTGTTTTAAGATCTAGCAGGATAATTGGGAATCCAACTTTTCTAACTGCCATTCTGTTGCTACTTAAGAAATATTGAGTATTGTTTTTGGGTATACATTTTGTGACAGGCAGAGTAACGTCTTGCTAATATAGGTTAGGGGCAGCAGAAGCTCTATTGATGATAATTCTGTTTTTGTCGCTTGCCATTTTAGATTGGCGCGCTTATCATCACTCCCACCAGAGAGCTTGCTATCCAAATAGATGAGGTGATCTCCCATTTCATTAAATATTACCCACAGTTTAGGTAAGTCACATCTGGTGGTTAGGAAAGCAGGGTGGCCTAGTTTGTTTGTTTTTATTAAGATATTGCTTCTTTTTTTTTTCCAGTCAGTGCCTTTTGATTGGTGGGAAAAATCCCATGGAAGATGTAGAAAGATTCAAAGAACGAGGGTGAGTTAAATGCTGGAGTCACGACTGTAAGACTGTTGCCATCCAGAGTCACTGGGAGTCAGGCAGGAAATTAATTTATTATTGCTTGCACAGTGAGCCAGGAGTTAATAGACTTATTATCCCCCTATTTAGTCCTTCCCAAGGATCTAGAATAGTCAGACAGACAGATATTGTGGTTTGAAGGTATTAAAGATATTGTCGTAGGATGTAAGCTGTTCCAAGTACCCTTCTCAACCTGCAGGGTGTTCTTTTTCTGTCCTGAACAGCGGAAACATCTTGGTGGCCACCCCAGGTCGTTTGGAGGACATGTTCAGGAGGAAATCCGAGGGGCTGGATTTGGCCAAGGCTGTAAAATCTCTTGATATTTTGGTCTTGGATGAAGCAGATCGACTGCTGGACATGGGGTTCGAAGCCAGGTAAACTCCTATATTTGTTTGTTTTCATCATTATAAACTGGGTCGATCGATTTGATCTTCCTTCCTCAAAGTTGCCTTGCTGCAGCTTCCGTGGATTATATTTTGCAACCGCTGCTGAACTGTCTGGGGCTTGATGTTTGAGACTGCCTTCCCTGGGATAGGTGAAAAAATCATTGGAGCTTTGTGTCCCGATAATGGATTTAGGAATACTTTTATTTCTTTAACTCACAACTTCTGCAGCTTGAGAAAATGTGAAAACCTTTGGCCTAGGGGATCTGGCCTTTAGCCTTTGTGCGAACAGAGTGCTTCTGACACCGTGAATTGTATTTGCCTGCAGTTTGAACACTATCCTGGATATACTGCCCAAGCAGAGACGGACAGGTCTCTTCTCTGCAACTCAGACCCAGGAAGTGGAGAACTTAGTGAGAGCAGGACTCCGAAACCCCGTCCGTATCTCAGTGAAGGAGAAGGGAATGGCAGCAAGTAACACCCAGAAGACTCCCACTCGGCTCCAGAATTATTACATGGTGAGGCCAATTCTCTTTTCCGGAGTGGCTTTTAAGGGGGGAATGGCGCCAGATCTCTTTGATCCTGATGTCGGGCAAGATACTTTTCGTTGATCATATTGATGTACAGGTAGCCCTCAAGTTACGACCACACTGGAGCCAAAATTTCTGTTTCTAAGTGAGCCATTTGTTAAGTGAATTTTGCCTCATTTCTTGCCAGAGTAGTTTAGTGAATTGCTGTCGCTGTTAATAACACGGTTGTTAAGTGAATCTGGCTTCCTCACTGACTTTTATTCTCAGAAAGTTGTAAAATGTGATCACGTGACACTGCCACCATCATAAATATGAGTCCGTTGCCGAGCGTCTGAATTTTGATCACATGGTTTTGGGGATTCTGCAACAGTCATAAGTGTGAAAAATGGTCATAAATCACTTTTTTCAGTGTTGCTGTAGCTTCAAACGGTCACTGAACGAACTGTTGTAAGTTGAGGGCTATATTCTTGTTGTGTTTTATTTCATCGTTTATTTTATTGATCTATTGTTTTACTTCTGTTTATTCTCTTTTCATGTCTTCCTTTTTACTGTTGCACGCTGTCAAGAGCAGCCCCATGGCGAGATGGGGGCAAATAAATTTAATGAACCAAGAAACAAATAAGTGCCTGAATCTCAATTTATACAGTAGATCTTAGCTCTGAAAAGCATGTAATCTACTGGGAGGAGGGGAGAAGAATTAAATGCCTTTTTGTTTTGAGAGCTGAATGGAAAAAAAGACTTACCCTTTAAAGGATTTTGAGGAGATATTCAATAAATGGTTATGTTCTGCCTCTCTTTCTATTAATACTATGGGCTAAATTGTACCTGACTTTATACATTTAGACCTGCAAGGCGGATGAGAAATTTAACCAGCTGGTTCACTTCCTTCGTCAACACAAACCAGAAAAGCATCTTGTCTTTTTCAGGTAGGATAAAAGGGATGTTGTGATGGAGGCTTAGCCTGGATATTTTTCCTGTTCCTCAGATTGCGGCTTATATAGGCTACATAGAATTAAAAATGCTTATTATTTTTTTTTTTAACCTAGCTCTTTGTTTCCAATTTTAGTACCTGTGCTTGTGTGGAATATTATGGGAAGGCTTTGGAGTCTTTGATTAAGAATGTGAAAATTATGTGCATCCATGGAAAGATGAAACACAAGAGGAATAGGATCTTTACAGAGTTCCGGAAACTTCCAAGGTAGAGAAACCTTTTTTTGCAATGGCCAAAGCTGCCAGTCGCAAGAAGAGAGCGAATGTATCGGTGTGCATTGGGCGGGATGCATTGGGGGCGGGAAGGTGTATTAAGTATGTTTGCCACCTTGAGCTAATTATAATGTAATCAAGACGGGATAAATGAAATGTAATGGTAATTATTATGGCTAGTTTAATGCAAAATCCTGTTGTGCTTCAAAAAAAAAAAAATTAAGCAACGTTAACGGCTGTAACCTTGGTCTCCTTCCCCTTTAAACATTTTGTCTTCCTTCTCAATGTCCCAGCGGCATCCTGGTTTGTACCGATGTGATGGCCCGTGGCATAGACATCCCGGAGGTGAACTGGGTTTTGCAGTATGACCCACCGAGCAGTGCAAGGTAGCCCCTTTCCCCTCTTTGTAAAAGCAGCACAGGGCAGCAGGCTAGTGCTGCCACAAAAGAACAGCAGGACTATCTTACTGCTCAGTGGTAACCTATTTCAATGAGGAAGATTCCCTTCTTATTTAAACAGAGCATGAACCGCTTAAAAGCTTCTCCTTGCCTAATTGCACGTTTTCTCTCGTTTTTCTGCAGCGCTTTTGTGCATCGCTGTGGCCGCACCGCCCGTATCGGCCATCTGGGCAGCGCGCTTGTCTTCTTGCTTCCTATGGAAGAAGCTTACATCAGTTTCCTAGCCATTAACCAAAAGGTGAGGGTGTCTGTGTGTGTCTCTCTCTCTCTTTTCTGTTTTGATCCAAAACTAGTAAAGAGCGAATCGGCTTGAGGATAGGGAAAATCTGAATATTGGAAACGAATGAATGAATGATAGATGGTACGTGTCATTTAGTATTGTTATTATTCATGTCTAATGAAATGGCTTTTTTTTTTCTAAAGAGGCAAGGCGGGCCCTGTTCATAGTCTCATAGAAATAATAATAAAAACAGAATCTGTTCATTAGATTTTTATCCTGCCTTTATTACTTTATAAATAGCATGCAAACATACTTCTTTTTCCTCACAACAACCCTGTCAGGTGGGTTTGACTGCGAGGTGACTGGTCCAAAGCCATGCAGCTGGCTTTCATGCCTAAGACAGGATTAGAATTTGCCGTCTCCTGGTGAGAGTTTTGAATTAGCTAAAAACAAAATCTTCAATTAGTGCCCCATGGAGGAACTGAAACCGCAGAGGAACGTCACGGATCTCCTACCTAAGCTGAAGTCGCTGAGCCTGGCTGACAGAGCCATGTACGAAAAAGGGATGAAGGCCTTCGTGTCCTGCGTCCAAGCCTATGCAAAACACGAGTGCAACCTGATCTTCCGAATAAAAGGTAAGTTTGTTTATTTAAAACACGGTCCATTTCTTCCTATTATTTTTGAGTTGTTTTTTTACACCACATAGGATAACCTGCCTATTAGCATTTCCAATATATTTCTAAGCCATTCCAGTTCTTAAATGACTTTCTCTGGCCCTTCATGTTGGTTTCGGCCACTCCTGTTTTGTTGGCCTGTTTTCTTGATTATATATAAAAAAACATGTCTTGCTATTTGTCCTTTTCAATGTCTGATGATCTCTTAACTCTGTGTGTGTGTGTGCGCGCGCGCGCGTGTGTTGAGAAAGAGAGAGATTCCATACCCAATACTAGGTAAGATCCCTAAACATTTTCCTGGAGCTTATAGCCAAGAATTCTCTTCTGTTCTCCTGTCACTTCCACAACATGGTTTTCTACCAGGTCAAACTGAGGCACACAAACAAAAAAAGTTAGAAACAAAAAAAAAAACCCCTTCTAATTGCTCCTCTCCAATGACTGGGGAAAGCTCACTTGGCCTGGCTACCTAGCCCCCCACTGTGGTCTCTTCTATGTTGCGCTCAAATTGTTTGTAGCTTTCAGCCGTCACCAGCTGCTTCATTAGGGCATCTGAAATGGCCCCGGGTCTCTGCTTTGGGTTCAGGTGCCGAGACTCACCAGTCTGTGTCCCTTTTTTAACAGATCTGGACTTTGCCAGCCTAGCCCGAGGTTTTGCCCTCTTGAGGATGCCAAAGATGCCGGAGCTGAGAGGCAAGGACCTCTCGGGCTTTGCCCCCGTTGATATTGACACGGACTCGATCGCGTTCAAAGACAAGAACAGGGAAAGACAGAGGCAGAAGCTGTTGGAGCAGTGGAAGGAAGAGGGTCCAGTCCGCAGAGTGGGGAGGAAGACGCCCCGAAATCAAGCTTGGTCCAAGCAGAAAGCAAAGAAGGAGAAGAAGAGGAAATTGATGGCAAAAAGGAAAAGGGAGGAGGTGAGTTTGGGCAGGAAGTTCTTTGTTTCCTGCAAGTGAGCTAAAATGTCTTAGAGCAGGGGTACCCAACCCCCGGTCCGTGGACTAGTACCAGGCCACAGCATGCCAGCAACCGATCTGCACAAACAAGCAAAGCCGCATCCACGGGATGCAGGCGGCACACAAAACCACACATGCTCCGGTCTGTGGAAAAACCTCTCTCCACGGAACCGGTCCCTGGTGCCCCAAAGGTTGGGGACCTCTGTCTTAGAGGGCAAGGTAGGGGAGCTAGAGCAGGAGGAACCCCCATTTTTATTGACTCAGGGGACTGGGACATCACATTAAGCCAATTCATTGAGTTTTGGCTGAAGAATATCATTAATTAATTACCAATTCAGACAAACCATCAAACAGTAAACCACAGCCTTAATCAAGGAACCACCAAGACTATTCCCACAACCTTGGCAGGACAAGCCACTAGTATATAAACCAAGATCAAACCCCGCTCCCTTCCAGCACTGATGATGTTAACTAGCTGGGTCACGAAATGTCTGCAAGAAAACCACCAAGCTCGGAGAGCACCAAGGACCTCACAGTCCTTCTCCTTGCCATAAACCCCACTCCCTAGTAGTACTGATGATGTTGCCTAGTTGGGTCATGAAAGGTCTCTAAGAGAACGGTCCAGCTCAGAGAGCACCAAGGACCCCATAGTTCAACCTGGAGCTACAAAAAATTCTCTCCTATTGGCAATTAACTCCAGTCAGTTTGTAAACCATGCTGAAATGACTCCAGACACAAAACCAGTAACCCCCCTGAAACAATGGCTTAAGATATTTTTTGCCCTCCAGTATTGATGGACTGTCAGAACAGGCGGAAAGGGAGGCCCAAAGAACTATTAGGAGCAGCAGCAGCAAAAGCTACCTGCACTTTTAAGGAAAGCAAAACTCATGACAAGCCTTTCTGATTTTAAGCCTTGTTTTCTGTTTTTAAAAACCTTTCTCCAGGGTTCTGACCCCGACAACGAAGATATGGAGGAGCTTCTGAATGACACCCGGCTTTTGAAAAAGCTCAAAAGGGGTAAAATCAGCGAGAAGGAGTTTGAGAAGACGCTGCTGGGCAGTAGGGAAGGAGGAAGTGGCTCAGACTCAGAAGGATAAAAAGATGAAGTGAAAATCTGAGCGTTTCTCGTCTCACTAATACGGACTCTTTTGCGAGCAGTACTGAATTCCTTCACTTTCCGGATTTCTCCATGCAAAATTAGGGTTCACCAAGCTGCTCCCCCTTTTCTTCCCACTGGAGGACTTGCAAGCCAACTCTGCAGAAAGAATCGAAGGATCAGCCTGTCTAATTCAGTTATTGTCTGCTTTCAATGGAAGCCAATGACTTAGAGACATTATTTAGCCTCTGCCGTTAAAACATGCAGGTCTAAAAAGCAATGAAACCTAAGCAAGAATGTTTCTCAGAGAGGGACCTATTTTTTTTTTTACCTGCATGTAAATTAAATGGATCCAACCCTTGACTTTGCCGCCATCTTAACTTTTTGGAGGATACATTTTGAGCTACGTGCTACTGCAGCATATCTCAAGTCAGCAGGTGGAGCAGAAAATATATGATGAAACCTTGGTTTTTCTTCGGGCGAATTTATTCCAATAATTTACTTTACGGTCGGCACAGTGAGCTTTTTTCTTTTTTTTTGTACAAATGAATTTTTTTTAAAAAATAAAAATCCACAAAACAAAGGGGGCAAAATGATCAGGAAAAAGTTCCCTGCTTATTTTGCATTTTTACTGCTTGCAATCCACAGGTTCAGAGCGGCCCTTTACAAGTAGAGTTTAATCAGTTCGTCGCTCACAGCCGAAGGGGTCAAGACCCCGAGATCCGTAAACAGCAGCGTGATCAGAGACGGGGAGGTGTAATCGATCCAAGGATGCTCAACCGCAAGGGCCTTTTGGGTCTTCAAGGTGTCTGCTTTGTACTGAGAGGAACGAAAGAAAAGGCCTGGGTTACCCTTATGGAAAGAGGCAGCTTCAATGAGGTTCTTGAGCTGACCCCCACCCTCCTGTGCCAATTTTGAGATGGCGAAAAGGTCCACTTTTCCAGCCAGCTACAGGTTCTGCTCCATCCAGGAAGCAGACTTTTTCCCCTTACCTTAAATTTATCCGGGACGTCCTGCTGGTTCAAAGGGAAGAGCCTTACGAACTTGAAACTCTCGGCGACCACATAAAAAGGTTTGTTCTGCGCTTTGGCACAGACGGCCATTTGGTTGGTCCCAATCTGAAGGAGACGTCAGGCACGGGGCAGGGGAAGAGGTGTGGTGGTTAGGACATACATAAAAAGCAGCAATTTCAGAAGTGGAAGGTGGGAGTTCTAGTCCCGCCTTAGACATGAAAGGCAGCTGGATGAACTTGGACCCATCACCAGGAGATGGTGAGTTCTAGTCCCGCCTTAGGCTTGAAAGCTAGCCGGATGACTTTGGGCTCATCACCAGGAGACGGTGAGTTCTAGTCCCACCTTAGGCATGAAAGCCAGCTGGGTGACTTTGGGCCAGTCTCTCTCTCAACTCAACCCTTCTCACAAGATTGTTGTGGGAAAAAGTGGAGAAGGAAGATCTGCTGGAGAGTTATTTGTAAGAATAATAAAAGGCAAGATACAAATTAAATAAATAAACCCTTTTCAGACAAGGAAGGAAGGATGAATTGCAAGGGCTTTTAAGGAAGCTATCATCGGGGCCGCCTTCATCCTCAGAGGCTGAAAATCTGTGCTAATTAAGCCCAAACGAGAGACAAAGGGACCCACGTGAATCATTTGGGAGTGACCGCATAATTTACAAACACTCTTCACCTTGTTGATGATCCCTCCGTTTTCGACCACTCCTTCAGCCCCCACAATCACCAAATCTATCCTTTCCATGATGTATCTATGAAGAGAAACAAAAACACGGCTGGTCTTACGGTTTTTTGTCCAGCTCCTTTGGGAAGGATGCTTTACAACTGTCACGACCATAACGGCCAAACTGTTACGGCTGTACTTGCACATGAAATGTATTCTGCACAACCACCTCCAGTATTATAATAACGCGTTGGTTTTGTTGCAGTGCATTTTGGCAGACACAATTGCTCTGTGTGAGCCAGGCCGTTTTTCCTGTGAGTGAACTACATCGCTCTTATGTTATAAATCCCCCAATCAATATTCTCTCTAAATGCTTTTATCTCATTTTGCTTTGGAACTCCACCATTCAAAAGTGCTTTGAAAGTAGCAATATTAACCCACTAGACTTACCCAACAGCAGCATCTAGAATTATGGTGGCAGGAATTCCAAGATTCTTGAGGGCTTCTGCCATCTTCTGCCTGTGTTAATGTTAAAGCACGTGTATTAAACCTGTCAGTTTAATAAGAAACAGTACACCTTGATCCTATACTATATTACCTTCCGGGAAAAAAAAACATATTTTTTTTAATTGAACAGAACGGTTGATTAAACACGTTTGAAATGGAAAGACCCTTTGTCTTAAGACCCTATTTTTAAAACACCTTTTATTCATTTCACAGAAGGAAAGCCATCGACCTGGCAGACTGTTCAAATATCAGAGGCCAAGGGTTCACCCACAAAATCACCCCAACATAAATGTCCCTATTAAGGTATTGCACCTTAAATTGAAAACAAGCTTGTTCATAACATCACCAAGAGAAAGAAAACATTTCTACATTTTCTAGCAACAGAGGAAAATGTTTTCGCTTTACTTGCCCTGCTCGATCCGGCTGTGATTCTGTGACATAGACGCTAAAACGTTTCTTGGCCTGTATAGCTGCTGCTAACACTCGAAGTACCACTTTTGAGTAAGCGTGTGTCAATATTATCTGGAAAGACAATCCAAATATTGTTTTTTCAGTTTACAGCATCAGCCTCTCTCTGATGAGGGCAAAGCCTCTCCTCTCATTCAATGGGACAAGTCGGAGAAATATAAGTAGAAGAGTTAAAATATTACATCCCACAGCACTGTCTTGCTAAATAACAGGTATTTATTCCAGTATATTTTTGTAGCCGCCTTCAAAAAAATCATCCCTCCACAGTTTTGGTAAACAAATAACATGACAGATTAAAAAAAAAGATTGATGGTCCAAGACACACTGGATTTCTTTTTTGTATTATTGAAGAGCATGCAGGAAGAAAACAAGCTATGATTATAATAAATGTAACTGTTACTTACGCCACCATCTTTCACAAACGTGTGACAAAGCGTGGCAATTTTCTTCCTGGAAAGAGAGATTCGCTTAAGAAAAACCTCCCCTCTTTCGATCATGATTTCTTTGCATTTGGAATAGTCCTGGGAAAAACGGAAAGCAGCGAAGTTGAAAGAATGATACAGAAGATTAAAGAAACAAGTCAAAACATATCTTGGATACCATGAGTAGCATCTTTACCCAGCGTATGGATTCACGCATCCTCTTATCCCTCATCCCAAATGCCTAGAAACTTACTCTGCATTATAACATGTAAAAACAAAAGCTTTCTGTACAAGCTCAGGAGCCCTTCAACATTTAGATTCACCAAGATCAATCCCTGACGTTTTGGATGGTTTCTAAATTACTCAGGATTGCGTTGGAGTAAGTTCTACTGTTCTTTATAGCCACATTCAGTATTCTTTAAAACGTAAAATTTGGAAGCTGAGTGGCCGATATTTACATTAAAGAGCTGAGTTAAAACTCACCGGGTTTTCTAAAGAAGTGAGACTGATGAATCTTAGAAAAAGTTCTCCTCCAGATGAAATGGCCACCGAGGAGTCGACGCTAGAGAGTGTTTCTATAGCCTGTTTTAGATTGGCTCTCAGTCCTTGGATGGTCTCACCTGAGGGAATAAAAAGGATAAAAAAATGCTGCTGCATGGGCTTCAGTTTTTACAGACTTCATCTTGAGAGTATAAAATAAAAATTAAGGCAGGAAACAGGGAAGCCTTATGATAAAGTATCTTAGAATGTGAACTCTTTGTATTATCTACTACTACTTATTTTATAACGGGCAGCTCTGCTGCAAATCACCCTGAGATTTGTAAGTAAATTCCAGGCTTAATTCCACCAGCCTGTGATTTAATTTCTGCTGGCTGCTCAGTTGGTGCAACGCCAAGACATTACGTGCCTTTGTCCCTCTTCAAGAATTCCAATAAGACCCGGATGGCAGCCACTGCAGAGGCAACATCTGGATCCTGTCTCATCTGGGTGTTAAAAGCATCGACTAGCTCTGCAGAGGTGGAACACAAAAAATAAATTAATTTAGAAACCCTGAAACTTACAAAAGTGCTCATTTCGCATTTTACAGACTATAATATTCTGCATTTGTGACTCTTCCAAATGGAATATTTTGCATTTATTCCATACCCTCTCGGATAGATAGATAGATAGACAGACAGACTCTATAAAGATAAATAATTCAAAATAATTAGGAATTGACATGGATTTTGCAATACTAAAGAAACGTGATGGCAAGAGATTTCTGATCGGAAAGGAAACTCTTCCCACAACGCCCGCCAGACTAGCAGAGACCTCACAGGGCAGGAAACCTGATATTTCCACCTGTCAAGGCTCGACCTGTTTAACTTCCAGCTTCGGTTTCTGTTGTCCTCTGCAGCCATTTAGCTTCCCTCCCTCTTTTCTCCCGTTCCCGGCGCGAGAAACACCCGTCTCCCCCAGGCGCGCCAGAAAGGATCCAGTTCCAAACCAGACTTCAAAAACGGTGCCCGTTTTGGGGCTCCCCCTTCGCCCCTCCGCTCACCCGTCTCGTTCATGGTGGAGAAAAAAAATGCTTCGGGCGACCAGGACGCCTCCCCGGAACCCTCGGCGCGGCGCCGCGGGGTCCTACCGGAAGCCTTTCCCACTTGCACTCGCTGCCAGCCGCAAGAACAACACGAGCGGGGCACGCCAAAAAGGGTGCGCCAGAGCGCTCGTGACGTCACTCTCAGGCGACCGGACTGCGCCGCTATGAGCGCGGGTGAGTTTGGGCTCCGAATTATCGATTTAAATTCGGGGTTGGGTGGAATTCCTCCGCCTTTTCTGACTCCGAGGCGAGTCTCAGGCCTCTGAATTCCTTGGTTGGAGAGACTGGGTTTTATTCTCAAGTATTGGCTGCCTCTGAGCATGTACAGAGTGGTTTCACACCCTTCCACTACACCCGTTTCCGTCCCCCCCCCCCGCCATCACCAACTCTAGGTCTCCTTTCAATGCAAACGTCACTTAGGGAATAAAGGAATAAGGCCTTTCATTCCCACGTGCCAGGTGGAACTCCCTGCCACAAGATGCTTTCATGTCTTAGGCAGCTTGGGTGACTTTGAGCCTGTCCTCCTCTCTCAGCCCAGCCCACCTCACAGGGTGGTTGTTACGGGGAAAGCAGGAAGAGGAATTATGGGAGGAAGTCCACAAGTCATAAAAGGGCCAAGTTTGAAGACCCCTGCTTTAGTTAAAACAGGAGGACATTTGCTGCTGGTTGGTCGAGGACAACATCCAGTCTCCAGCAGAGTTGGGAATAGTGGCTTTCAACTTCTGGATATTCGCAGCAGCTGCTTGAGATGTCTGACTCTGTAGAAAATGAAGGAATGGATGGCAGATACAGTCTCACCTTCTGAATTCTGTGCTTTATCTTCTTTTCTAGATGAGGAAGTGAATCTCCTAGTCATTGTTGTTGATACTAACCCTATTTGGTGGGGCAAGCAAGCCTTGTTGGGCTCAGAGGTAAGGCATCACTGGCATAAGTT